AAAAAAAGAAAAGAAAACTAGGAAGGTAGTAGTGTATCACTTTGGGTGTACTTAAACCTTTTACTATGTTAGATTTTTTATTTTATTTTATTTTATTTTACTTATTACCAGGATCGTGCACTTGCCAGGCAGGTGCTTATGCCACTGAGCTATTTCCCTAGTCTTTTTTTTTTTCTTTGTTTAACCAGGGATTGATCTCAGGCCCTTGCACTTGCCAGCCAAGCACTTATTCTACTGAGCTATCTCCCCAGCCCTCCCCAGTCATTTTTATAACACAAAATAACTTTAATTTATCAGACTTTTAATGATTTGGGGTGATGGAATGGCAACCCAAATTAGAGGATAGCAGAAAAACAGTACATGAAAAAAGGATCTTAATCAGACTGGTGAGAGTGACAACGTAGCCCTTAGAGAGGCAGGGGAGGTGACCCCACAGAGGAAAGACTCCTTCCTGTGGCAACAGCATTGTGTGACAAATAACAAGGTTGAACAACACAGAACAGCATGGCTGTCCACCATGTCAGCTACAAGACTATCCTTGGATCCTAGTTTATTAGTTAAACCTCTAGTTTGAAAATAGAAAATATTTCTAAGATAATCTTGGTATTAAAGCAATGCCTGTTTTTCCTTTGGCAAAGAAAGACTGAAAAAACAGGAGATGTTATATCCAACTCCAGTATTGGGGTTCTCCTAAGCTAAATGCTTACTCTCCAAGCAAGATAATATGTGTGAAAAAATCTTGCCCAGGGCTGCCTTATGTGAATATTAAAAAAAAAAAAAAACTAAAAACTTAATTTGAATCTCCTACATTTCTTTACCTTGTACCGATATCCAAAAGCAGGTATTTCTGAAAATACAAATATTCCCAGTGAAAATACACTTAAACCTGAAAAGAATGTTTAAGAAGAGTGTGTAATTAGAGATACTGTCAGAAGAATTGCATGAAAAGGGTCATGGATGACCTCAAGGAGCCAGGCAACCTATCATAATCAGAGTCTAGATGTTATACTGAATACTTGCCTATCCCTTTGGGTATGTATTTTCAAAGAAATAAGTCCCTATGGATAGTTTCAAATTACTTTTGTTACAAAGTAGAGAAACATGTTTTATCAGTAAAGATAATTCTTTAGATATAATACACAGTATAGAGAGAAATCCAAATTCATTAGGAAAATTTTGTAAAATGTTTTATCATAGAAGAAGCCTTATTCGCATTGTCCTTTCTTCAGGGAAGACTACTAAAAGATATGTTACCTTTCACCAAACATTCTGCGATTTCTCTAACCTCCCTGTATACCGACTCCTGTGCCAGGGTACTGCTGGCTGGAAATGTAGGTAGGTCACTACTCTTATATATTTGGCCAGAAGCATTTTAACCTGTGTGACATGAAAAAATGGGTATAGGTAAACCACTTTTACTGACACTTCTTTAGACCAAAAATGTCTAAAAGCTATACTTGAGCATGACAAAGTTATTAATAGATGTTTGTGTAAATGGAAAAATAAAAGAATGTCAGGAAAACCTATTTTATTCTTATTTAAAGCAAGATGTTTGTTCTTCCATCTTTAAAATGGTTATATGGCTACCCATCACCTTATCATTGTTTATTAGGAATAATTTAAAGTTTTGATTTTTAACATTGAAAGGGTTTCGTTGCATCAATCTTCACTCCGAAAGACAGCAGTGACAGAGAGGAAAAAGATTACTTGTTCTCTTGGAGGGGTATATTTGTTAGAATATAGTTGATTCTTAATTCTTCCATCTACTACAACATTTTTTTCTCATTTCTCTTCTTCTGTCTTTTGAATTAATCCTATAATTTCTTTGTCTTCATGTTGCCTAACTTTCAAAGATTATGCATGTATAAATGCACATGCATGTGTGGAATAGTTCTTAATATTTCTGGGTTTTAAAAAAACAATAAAAATAGAATTACTATATGATCCAGCTATACCACTCTTTGACATATATCCTAAGAATTCAAAGTCAGCCTACTACAGAAATAGAGGCATACACATTTATTTCAGCATTATTTACAATAGCCAAGTTGTGAAATCAAGTTGTTGGTATCTAAACAAATTGTTTACCCAACAATGGATGAATGGATAAAGAAAATGTAGTACCTGTGTACATATGTACACAATGGGGTATCATTCAGCCATGAAGAAGAATGAAGCAGGAATGGTGGTGCATTCCTGTAATCCTAGTACTTGGGAGGCTGAGGCAGGAGGATTGTCAGGAGTTCCTGGTCAGGCTGGGTTGGCCAGCCTGAGCTACATAGCATGACCCTTTCTCAAACAAAACAAAAAGAAGAAGGGGAAAAGGAAATAAAAGAGGAAAAAGGAGGAGGAGAACAATGGAATTAGGCTATTTTCAGGAAAATGGATGAAATTAGAGATCATCGTATTAAGCAAAATAAGCCCCTTTGAAAGAAAAGTATGTTTTCTTCTCACATTTGGACTCTAGAAAACATGAGGGGGACTATTAGGGAAGGGAAACTGGGGTGGATGAGAAGAGGTAATAAGGACAGCGATTATGATCAAAGCACATTATATGCATGTATGAAAATGTCGCAATGAAACCCATTGTTTTGTACAATATATGTTAATAATTATAATAGAAAAAGGAATCATAATTGAGGAAAAATAAAATTTCAATAAATTTACTGGTATTAAATTTTTTGAGGGTCGGCTAGATAGCTCAGCAGACTAAGCACCTGCTTTGGCAAGTGCAGGGACCAGGATTCGATCCCTAGACCCACAGACCACGCCAACCAACACACTGAGCCAGTGACTGAGCCCAAGCGTGGTGGCACACACCCACAATCCTAGTGCTGGGAAGGCTGAAAACAGGAGGATCACGAGGAGTCTGAGCCAGAGCTGTGTAGTGAGACCCTGTATCAAATTCATAAATGAAAATAAATAAAATAAGTAAAACTTTTGAAACAATTCGTTAGAATAAAGTGATAAGACTTTAGAGGAAAATTAAAGCACTTTAACTTTCCCTTTTCTCCACACCTATCCCCTTATTGTTCACATATTGTTGATTTACATCCAGGTTATGTCTGCTATGTTCATACTTACAATTTCATCGCTTTTAAGAAAATTTTTCCTATTTCAAAATTTACCATGTATTGTCAACCATGGGGTCTTCCACACAGTGTTGAAAACAACTGTTTAGATTTACATTCAATATTGTCAGATTTACCACATTTAAGTAAAGTTATCTCTGTTTTATCTGACTTAATTGCTCACCACCAGTCCCTCTATATTCTGTTATAATTATTCTTTCATGTATCTGTCAACTTTTGTAGACTCTGTGTTTACAGCAGAATAGATGGGAAATAGAAGATCAGGCAGAATTTCCTCGTGTAATATCTTGCATATTCTTGTACTAACTTTGCCCACCGGTTAGCCTTTTCTAATAAAACTATAGGACTAGAATGGAAAAACAGCCCAGAATGTATCTCTGTTAAAGCTACTGCTTTCTCTGCCCAACTCTGAGATTTGGAGTTTTCACCTGTGTTCCAGAAGGGATGCGGAACTCACTCCACGCTCTCCTACCCCCCAGCCCGTGAGGCCCCGCCTACTGCTGGCTGGCCCCGCCCACAGCCCCGCCCTCCAGTAACCCAGGAAACCAGAGTTTGGCTCCAGCAGGCTAAAAGCAGGTTTCATGGCAGCTGCGAAGAAAGCAGTTGTGGGCCCACTGGTGGGGGCAGTGGACCAGGGTACCAGCTCGACACGCTTTTTAGTTTTCAATTCAAAAACAGCTGAACTGCTTAGCCATCATCAAGTGGAAATAAAACAGCAGTTCCCAAGAGAAGGGTGGGTGGAACAAGACCCTAAGGAAATTCTGCAGTCTGTCCGTGACTGCATAGAGAAAACCTGTGAAAAGCTTGGACAGCTCAATATTGATATTTCCAACATAAAAGCTATTGGTGTCACCAACCAGAGGGAAACCACTGTCATCTGGGACAAGTTAACTGGTGAGCCTCTCTATAATGCCGTCTTGTGGCTTGATCTAAGAACCCAGTCCACTGTGGAAAAGCTGGGTAAACTAATTCCAGGAAATAAAAACTTTGTTAAGACCAAGACGGGCCTTCCACTTAGCACTTACTTCAGTGCAGTGAAACTTCGTTGGCTCTTTGACAACGTGAAAAATGTTCAGAAGGCTGTTGAAGGACATAGAGCTGTTTTTGGGACCATCGATTCGTGGCTTATTTGGAGTCTGACAGGAGGAATCAATGGAGGTGTCCACTGTACTGACGTAACAAATGCAAGCAGGACGATGCTTTTCAACATTCATTCTTTGAAATGGGATGAAGAGCTCTGTGACTTTTTTGGAATTCCAATGGAAATTCTTCCCAGTGTCCGGAGTTGTTCTGAGATTTATGGCCTGATGAAATCTGGGGTCTTAGAAGGTGTGCCAATATCCGGGTGTTTGGGAGATCAATCTGCTGCTTTGGTGGGACAAATGTGCTTCCAGGATGGACAAGCCAAAAATACATATGGAACAGGATGCTTCTTACTATGTAACACAGGCCATAAGTGTGTGTTTTCTGAACATGGCCTTCTGACCACAGTGGCTTACAAACTTGGAAGAGACAAACCAGTATGTTATGCATTGGAAGGTTCCATAGCTATAACTGGGGCACTTATTCGCTGGCTAAGAGACAATCTAGGAATTATTAAGACCTCAGAGGAAATTGAAAAACTTGCTAAAGAAGCAGGTACGTCGTATGACTGCTACTTTGTCCCTGCATTTTCAGGGCTGTATGCACCTTATTGGAAACCCAGTGCAAGAGGGATAATCTGTGGACTCACTCAGTTCACCAACAAATGCCATATCAGTTTTGCTGCACTAGAAGCTGTTTGTTTCCAAACCCGAGAAATTTTGGATGCCATGAATCATGACTGTGGAATTCCCCTCAGTCATTTGCAGGTTGATGGAGGAATGACCAACAATAAAATTCTTATGCAGTTACAAGCAGACATTCTGTGTATTCCGGTAATAAAGCCCACCATGCCTGAAACAACTGCCCTGGGGGCTGCCATGGCAGCAGGAGCTGCAGAAGGAGTTGGGGTTTGGAGTCTCAAACCAGAGGATCTGTCATCTGTCACAATGGAGCGGTTTGAACCTCAGATCAATATTGAAGAAAGTGAAATTCGCTATGCTACATGGAAGAAAGCTGTGATGAAGTCAATGGACTGGGTTACAATGGAGTCTCCAGAAAGTGGTGACCCTTGCATCTTCTGTAGTCTGAGTTTGGGCTTTTTTGTAGTAACTAGCATGGTAATGTTAATCGGAGCGAGGTATCTCTCAAATGGCCTCTAAGTCATGCCAATTGGTGGATTTCCAAGATAAGAACTCTTTATGCATGGACAGAATCCAGCAATTGTGACTCAATGCGATGACACAATCCATAGACTCTGATTTCATTCATGTGCCATTTGCTGCATGATCCACCTAGTAGACCTACGGCTTGAAATAAAGTGCAGCAGAAAAACAACTCAAAGCCTTACTGAGTGGTCACTGTTTTCAGTCAGCCATCTTTTGGCACTACTAGTTGTTGCTTTTATTAAAAAGCCTATTTTTTGGAACTGTTTTAGGTTGACAACAAAATTGAGTAGAAATAACAGAGCTCCTAAATGCATCTTGTTTCCTCACCAAACACATCAGTTTACTACTAATAACATCCTGCTCCAGGCTGGTTCATTAGCTACGTTCAGTGAACTTATGCTGACTCATCAATGCTACCCAAAATATAAAGTTTATGTTAGAGTACACTCATAATGTTGAAGATTTTACTTTTTTCCCTTTTGTGGTTTTAACTGTGTATTTTGTATAATTCCAGTAATTTATTTTTAAAAACATATAATGGGCCAGAGAGATGTCTCAGTGGAATAAGCGCTTCTCTGGCAAGCGCAAGGG